CAGCCAAGGTGTACGGTGGCTTCCAGCTGCTGCCGGCTTCCGATGGGCAATTTGCCTTCCTCATCCCCAGCACCGCCTTTGCTCCTGGCGGTGCTGTGCTGCCCCTGTATGGTGGCCCACCCACGGCTGCCACTGCTGCCTCGCCGCCTGGCCCGCCACCCGGCACGGCTGACTCAGTCTGGAGACCCTGGTGAGGGTGGCAGGCACTGGACTGGACTGAGCACTGCACCCCGTGCTGCTGGCACGGCTGTACATAGGTTATATGTTCATATTGGATTGTGCCTTTGTACCATAGCACTCCCTCGACAGTGTTTCGTGTTTTACACGAGATCTTTTTTCTCCCTTCCCTCCCCTTCCTTATGTGACACCAAAGATCGGGTTTGGGTTTTTTTTTTTTTGAATGCTCTTAAAATAAAAATGTCTCTTCCATTTTGGAAGGCCTTTGGAGATAAGTTGGAGTGCTGGCATGTGTGCATAGGAGGGAGTCCAGCGCCTGGCTTGCTCCTGGCTGCCTGTGGATCGTGCTGCTCCAGGGCTGCCTTGTCTGGCCCTCCAGGCTGGAGCTGTCACTCAGACCCTCTGTCTTCCTGTGAAATCACCTGGCCCCTCTCCCTGCCCCGGGGCAGATGTAATTACTGCTTCTTGAGAGCAGCTCAACTGATCAGACTTGTTAAGAGCTTATGTTTGCAGAGCTGGTGAATGCGCTGAGGGAGGCACCTCTGCTATGTTCCTGGCTCCTCGGGCTGACGGAGTGGAGTAGCCCAGGTAAAGTGAGACAGATTCGGCACAGGCAGCCCAGAGGCTCCCAGCCTAGGCTGCCCGGGTGAGCCTCCTGCCCCGGACCCGGAGGGGCCTGCTCCCGGGCTGTGGCGTAAATCGCGAATGACTTCAGTCAGTTGATTTGGAGAGCGATGCCTGCCAGCTTCTCGCGTTACAAAAACAGCGGCTCTCTGCAGGACAAGCCTGACACGAGTGCTCCTGTCTCCTGGCTGACAGGCTGCAGCAGGCGCTGGGCACCACCTCCACCTGGACTTAAAAGCAGAAGGCTGTTCCCGGCCCTGAGCACCAGCCAGGCTCTGCTTGATGATTAATGCTCTGCATGTGTTTTTGATAGAGTTGGGCATTTCCTCTGCTGCTATATGGAAAACATGTGTCTGGGGGAGCGATGTGGGGCTGTGTGGACTCTCTGTCTATAACTGAGAGCGGCAGCTGACCCCTTTGACTTGGGGATGCCCCATTTCCAGTCAAGATGCAAGCCCTAGATAGAGGTGAGCGGCAGGCTCGGGTTACAGCTTGCATCGCCCTTCTTAACAAGTCTTAACTCAGAGCGGACAGCTTTAAAACATGCCAGGATCCAGTGGGGATTCCTTCCAAATCCTGTTGCAAAAGCTTGTTGGATTTTGTCCGGATCAGCCAGGTGCTTGACTGTATCCAGGTGCTGGGGAAATGAAAGCTGGGGGTGGTGTGAGACCAGGCAGATTAAACCTGCTGGGGTTTGATTCCCTACCCAGCTTTCCCCCCTGCTTCTCCTGTATCTGAAACACATCCTCCTGATCTGAAAATACTTCTTGGGATGGATTTTGGAGCAGGAGAGAAGGGGGGAGGTGTCCAGGATCTCTTTCTGCAGGGTGTACTGATGAGGTTGGGGCCAGTGGCGGCTCTCTTGAAAGGGGCTGCAGGGGCTGATCTCCGTGGGTGATGCAGAAGAGCTTCCCCTTCTGTCTCCCAGCACTGTGCTGGCCCACCTGTATCGCCACCTTCACGGTGGCATCTCGCAGCCAGGTTTTGTGTGCCTGGGTTGGGAATGCTGGATTTGCTGTCCCTAGGCAGGTGTGTAGCCGTATGGGCTAAGCCTGCTTTCCCTTCCACCAGCCATGGTGTCACCTTGCTGCGCTGGAGGTACCAAGGGGAGGACTGAGCTGACCTTGTGTTCAGAGAAATGCTCGCAGGACCTGTCTGTCTGGGAATCAAATCAGACCAGCTCCTGCTGCTGGATGGCCTGTCCTGATGGAACTGATGCAGACCAGTAACACATCACCTGTAGAAACTGAGGCTGGCCCAGCTTAGCAGAGTCTTCCTTTTCTGCTGAAGCAGTTGGTTTGGAAAGTACATTAGGAAAACAGACTTTGCTGTAGGCTAATGGAGAACACAGAGCAGATCCAGGAGTGAGAGACAAGATGAACCTATTTGCTAATAGAGTTTAAATTGCCTAGTATAAAGCAGATACGCCATGCTTGGACTGGTTTCTCCAAAGCTTTCTGTGTTTACTCTGTCCCATAGCCTGTTGACATGAGAGATCTGCTTGACTTTGTGAGCTTTGAGGGGATCAGAGCAATTCCCAGGAGCTGTGCTCTTGATGCCAATTCACTGAGCCCGTGACAAATTGGGATGACAAGTGCAGGCTGTGGGTCTGTGGATCATTATGTGCGGAGGTTGCCCTTCAGGTGCAGCAAGTGCCTTCAAACTGGTGCCGTGGGATGAGCAGGTAAGGGAGGGATGGGGAGTGCCAGGAATGGGACAGGGCTGAGCTGCTGGATGGTGGCCTCTCGTCTGGCCCTGACTCTGCACGAGGCGGTGCAGGACAGGTAGGAAAAGGGGCTGGACTCGGTGCTGCTGGATGGGATGCAGCTCCTGTTGGTTCCCTGGACACCCTGGTGAGCCCTGTCTGCTAGCAGAGAGGACTCCAGGGAGGGCTGGAGCCAGGTCTGTCCCTCTCAGATTGTCGCTCCTGGGCTTGTGAGCAGTTTGCCATAATCCGGTGCGTGCGTATGCAGCCCGGAGAGCGCCGAGCCGGGGGGGGAGCAGCGCTCCATCCCTGCCTGCAGCGCACCTGCACGGGGGCCCGAGGGCAGGGGGCTTTGCCCGCCTCTCCCAGCACCCTGCCGT